TTAATTAACTTACTCTTCTGACCTAAGTTCAACAGGATGTAACTTACCACACTTCTTCCCTACTCCTCAAAGATTTCTACAAACTTCTATGGGCTTACATGCACATCTGAGAAGGCTCTGTGGGTTGCCTGGGCTAAGGAAAGTCCATGTTACCTATTTTTATTTTTCCTTATGGTATTTATATATTAATGTACTTAATAATTTATAATGTTCCTATATACAACTAACAAAATTAAAATCCAGCTATTCCTAGCAGTCAATATAATTGTGAAGTCATTTTCCTGATATTTATACTAAAGGTTGCAAAACAGCAGTACTCACTGCCTAAGTTTTATGACATTTGTTTAAATTAGTGTCTCTCTACTAGGGTGATTTATCCTTCCACATGATATTTGGCAATGCCTGGATACATTTTTGGTTACCACAACAAGGAAAGGAGTGTGACAAGCATATAGTGGGTAGAGGCCAGAGATACTGTTAGACACCCTACAGTGCACAAGACAACCCTACAACAAAGAATTGCCCAGTCCCAAATGCCAATAGTGCTAAGATTGATAAACCTTTTTTAAATTTTGAAATAAGTTATTTTTCTCATATTTCTCACTAGTAATTCTCTAACTTCATTTTGTGATGTTTTCCATAGTCAATATCAACTTTTAATATGACTAATATTTATACTGATTTCTATGAGGAAGTTTACCAAAATTATTTTTTTACAAATTTTTGTTCATTTAAAAAAATTATTTGGTTATCCTTGGATCTAGGAACATTATTACATTTAAACTAAGAATCTCCATTTTATATTTTATAAAAGAATCATATATATTAAAAATCAAACTAAATCATTCTGGACCATGTTTTATGAAAAACAAAGTCCGTTATGAACTAATGAAAAGACTTCAAAATGTAATTTGGTTCAAAAAGTTTAAGATGTCTACAGATTTCTACTCTCAGGGAAACACTAAGTATTTTTTTCATCCATTTAGGAAAAAATTTCTGAACATATTGCATTAATTTAGCTTTTCCTCTGTTTCATTCCACATTTTACTCATGTTTCATTCTTTTCTTTAGGATAAATCTAAATGAAAATATATCAGTTATTTATATTTGGTAGTTGATTTCAAGGTTTAGAAGCACTGCTCCTTTCAAACCATTAGGCAAACTTCTAACTAAACAGATGGGCTTTAAACATGTTTTACAAAATTTATATTTTACCAAGTAGGAATAATTAGAGCGTAACTAATACTATAACCAATATATGTATTTGGAAAGAAGTTCCTCTTCTCTTTGCATAAAACTGCCATGACAGAGAGTTCCACATCATACACATAAATGCAAAAAGACAACCATTTCCATCCGAATTATTGTCATTTCTTGTATGTAAAGTTATCTTTGTTTATAGCACACTTTAATGCCAGATGCATCTCAATTTTCACATGAATCACAACTCATTTGTCCTTCCACAACCTTGAAATGTGTCAGTTTACATATTAATTTCATTGCATATATTTATCCATTATGCTACACTCTACACATTTTTTAAATGTGCAGTATTTCCCATTGGAAGTTAATGACAAAAATAGATTTCTCAGCATTTTTCTATTATCTATGACCAAAAAGTTAACCTTGTTTGTTTGCTTGTTAATTTGTCATTAAGGTGCTAGAGCAACACTGTTCAATAGTAATATAATACAAGCCACAAATATAATTTAAATTTCCCTATTAGCCATATGAAGTCAAGAAAAATGAGTGAAACTAACATATCATAGCAATATATTTTATTCAACCTGCTATATATCCAAAATATTATCATTCTAAAATGTAATCAACATATAAAAAATTATTGAGATTTTTACTTTTTTTCATATTAAGTCTTCAAAATGTGGTTTGTATTTTATACTTACAACATATCTCAATTTACATGCTAAGTATTCATGTGAAGTACCTGATCTGTATTTAGATACCATAAAATTGTACAGTTAAAGTTGATTTACATACTTAAACTGTTCCAAAGGAAGTTGAAAATGTTCCAGTAACTGAATCAAGTGCCAAAGAATCATTTTCCTCAATATTTGCACCCACATTCACAAATAATTGATTTGACTTTCATGCAGAAGCATACTAATTTTAAATCTCAGTTAAGTCAATTCACTAATTGTTATGTTAATTCAGTATTAACCTTGAATTCAAGGTCAAAAAACAATTTTAGATTTATCAGTATCAACAAAGCCTTCAAATTTTTCTTGTATTTTTGCAGCCAATTTACATGCTGTCATTTATAAGTAAAATACTTTGCATATTCATTCACATGTCAAATCATTATTACTGATTTGTATTATGAAAAGTTTGAATTTTAACATATATGCTTGTACCTGTGTAGTTAGGTCAAAAATAAGCTTTCTTCTCAAGATGTCTCCAAATTTCACTCTTACAGATATTAATTTCTAATAACAGTAAACAAATATATTATATTATTACCACATTTTACAGAGTTTCAGCTAACCCTAGCCTATGGCAACACTATATTTTATAGGCCTAAGGTTAGAGCTTTTTGTGCACTCCCTTCCCCAACTGAAAGCAGCTGCACTTTTCTACATGCAACTTTATATTTGGTTGCTCCTGGTGGCAAATTTGCAAACCAGAGAGCCTACATAGTGCCTTCTTCAACTGGACAAAGTTATGGGCAACATTCACATTCACATTAAGTCAATTTCTCTTTCTGATTGGTAATCTATTGTTTTGCATTTCTTTGATTTTTGAAATGTTTAATCTTACCTGAGAAATCTCCACTGTTCAAAACAGAGGCTTTATCCAAACAAGTCTGTTATATCACCAATTTGAATCTGTTTTTATATTTCTCGCCAAGGTGGCCAGGAAGTTCTGGGGCTATATTAATGCTACCAGGCCCTTCCCTAAACACAGGCCTTCTGGAAAACAGCCAGATATTTAAGGCCTGGTAAAGATAAATTATCTGGGAACTCATTATATTCTATGCCTTCTATACAATTATTCTTCCAGGCTTTGTGAACTTTTGAATAAGAATTAATAAATAAAACACAGGTCCGCATAAGAGCTTATATATTAATTTTCATAGCAGCATTATTCATAACAGTCAAAAAAGTAGAAACAACCCAAATGTCCATCAACTGATGAATAAACAAAATGTGGTATATCTACATAGTGAAACATTATTGAGTCATAAACAGGAATGAACCACTGACACACACTACAACATGAATGTACCTTGAAAGCATTATGCTACATGAAAGAAGCCAGTCACAAAAGGACACATAGTGTATGATACCATTTGTATAAAACATCTAGAATAAACAGTTCCACAGAGATAGAACATAGATTAGTGGTTGCCAGGAGCTGGAGGAAGGGGAAAATGGGGAGTGAGGCTTCCTTTGGGGATGATGAAAATGCTGTGGCATCAAGTAGTGGTGATGTTCAACTTTGTGACTAAATTAAAAGCTGCTGGATTGTACACGTTAAATGGGTGAATTTATGGTATGTGGATTATATTCCAGTGAATATTATTAATAATTCAATATCATTGATTATATTTCAATGAATATTATTTCAGTGAATATTAAGTTTATCTATATAGTAAGAATTATTGATCAAATAATTTTTTAATATAGTATTTTCTATACCCTTTACTATCAGAGAAGATTCTTGCCCTCAGAACCTCTCACCCTGTCTTTATCAATACACTAGAGGTCTATTTAACTTACTTTGAGTAGAAGGAATTATTTTTGCATCCTGAATATTATAACTGAACTAGAAGTCAAAAGGTGGATTTTTCTGTTCCAAAATCTGGTATTTAAGAGTTGTATAACTTTGGATCAAGTCAGGCACTCAATTTCCTCATCCATAAAAATGGCAGTGGATTTGATGATATAAGTCAGGCACTTTTTTAAAACGTTAATTTCCTTGTATAATTGAATGGAAGGAACCGATGATATTGAAGGACTCTTCCATTCCTCTCTTCTAGAGAACAGCCAAGTACTGCTGCAGAAAATCACTCAACAGGCCATCATCCCAAACGTCAAATGGGCACTCAACACTGCCCAGCAATACAGCTTTTTTCTCCAAGTAGCTAACTCTTTCATTCCCATTGTAAGCCATTTAAATTCTTCATCACTCTGAAAAATCACTCCTATACCCTGCACATCTCCTTCTACTATTAGTACGTGATATTGCTTTTTACTTCACAGAGAAAATAGAAACTAAGAGATAGCCAGTCTCTTAATATCCCCTTATTTAAATGCATAAACCTGTCTGCGTTCCATCTTCCTTCCTTCCTGTTACAGAGATGAGGGCCTTACTTTTGCTTTAGGCAATTCTCTCAGTGTGTTTTGAGGCTCATCCAATCTACCTTCTTAGGAACCTGACACCACTCCTTTTACCTCTCCTCTCTTCTAATGGGTCCTTCCCAACAACTGCTAACCTAGTTCAATCTTTTCTTATTAACAAAATAAAACATTGAACCCAGAGGATTGCTAGTATTTCCTTTTACTGACTAAAGTATAGCTGCCATTGGGCAAGGGTTGAATCACAGTTTATAATTCATTTTGTTGGCCAGCTTAGCTATTAGGTTATTCTTATTATCTTTTTACAATTTGAAAGTATTTGTATTAATTAAAATTTTGTGCATTGTATTTTATTCATACTTTTATGTTTCATTCTTTCAAATTCACATTCAGTGTGATATTTGTGTGATGATTTGATTACTCTTTGTCTTTGTTACTAGATTGTAAGCTCACTGAGAACAGGTTCTGTGTCTGTATCTGCAGAGCATAATAAAAACTCAGTAAATATTTGTTAGAAAAAATGAAAGAAGAAAGGAATGGAATTCTATGAGACAGAACAAGCAAAGGACTAAATATTAGTTTGTTTAAACTTAGACTGCTTGATAGATGTTAAATATTTTTAAATGCATTATACATTATGATATCCACAAATGAGCATTGAAATTTCTTGATGTTTTTATTCAGGCCATGGAAGCAGGTCTCTCAGAGGTGAAAAGTGAGTTACAGTCACGTGATGATCTCTTGAGAATTATAGAAATGGAACGATTGCAATTACACAGAGAATTATTAAAAATAGGAGAGTGCCAAAATGCTCAAGGAAATAAAACGAGGTATAATCTTAATATTTGACAATCTGAGAGAACTGTTCAAAACATGATATTTGAGTGTTTTTAAGAAATTTATGTTTGAAATGGGAATAAGACTATTTTGTATTAACATGTTAATTAATGGGTAATATTAAATATTAAAAATAAAATTCATAGTTATTTTATCTTCAAAATTAACATATTCACTTACCTAGAAAATTATATCATATTCTGATTTATGGATACTTCTGACACACTGAGTCAGACGTGGTGGCTCCCAGCACTTCGGAAGGCTGAGGTGGGAGGATCACTTGAGCCCAGCATTGAGATAAGCCTAGGCAACATAGTAAGACCATGACTCTTCAAAAAAAATGTTTTGAATTACCTGGGCATGGGGGTGCACATCTGTAGTCCCATTTACTTGAGAGGCTGAGCTAGGAAGGTCGCTTGAGCCTGGGAGGTCAAGGCTGCAGTGAGCTGTGATAATGCCACTATACTCCAGCCTGGACAACAGAGTGAAATCCTGTCTCGAAAAAAAAATACAAAAATAGTATAGAGTTGGTATTCAATTATGTAAACTCAGAGAAATAAGATTTATTCCATATTTTTAAATGCTTTTCTTTTGATTGCCTATACCTGATGTCAACTCTTTCACTGGTATGTATTGTATTTATTTTGGCCACCATGCTCACCATCTTGTCAGTTCCACTGAGAGTTCTTCTTAAAAGAGATTTTTTTCCCCCTTTTAAAATCAGACAGATACTGTATATTCCATAAACAAAGGAAATGGGAGTGCTGAGAATTATTAAATGTTTACACTTGTGAATAGACAGTTTGACTGCTTAATAGTTCATTGATGCTCTTATTCTCATAAAACTTGAATCTTTCTCAAAATCAGAAAGCTAATGCCAGATCCATGATAGGATTTTAAAAATTGAATAGCCAAATGGTGAGGGATGCTTTATTGAAAGATTGTTATATTGTATTAAAGGCAATAATTATTTCTTCAAAGTTGTGAGACCTGCTAGCATCGCTTTGAGGTCTATGCTTATTAACAAATGGCAAATTAAGATCCCTAAAATGGCCTGTTTTTGTGTCTCACCAAGGATGGTGGCAGAATGCTGTTAGCCAGTCTGCATTAGCAAATGCTCTGTATACAAGATGTATATCATCGTCACTGATTATTAATAAACCTGTTTATTACATGTAATGCTGTTCCAGTCTGGTGAGTAATGGCTTCACACAAAGAAAAGAATATATCCCTAAAAACAAAAGACATTTCATGGAAGAGCACACCAATCAACCCATGTCTAGTTCTGGCTTTGTGAAAAGCATCGTAGGTACTTTTTATGATTCTCTTAAAGCCCATGCTAAATTCCAAACAGTGCTAACTGCCCTTCAATAAACTATTTAATCTAAAATAGTACACTTATTTATACATTTGACCAATACTCACTCTTTTGTTCTGCCTGTTTACCATCCTCTGTTTAACTTGGCATTCATTTTGGTCTCCAAACTACATGTTTCTTATTTGAAGGGATTCCTTAGTTCTAGAATTCTGAGATTTGATGAAAAGGTGTAAGTTTAACTTTTCATAGCTTCCATTGTATTTTAGCCTTCTCAGCCTTTGTCTTTTCCACTGAAAGCGTCTTTTTTTTAGTTTGTTCTCATATGAATGCTGTTCTATCAGCTTTATTGTTTTGGTTTATTTTATTTAGACTGTTGCTTCTTTGTGGTTGTATCAAAGTAAAGCACCCCAGACTACTGATAATGGATGCATAGTAGTTTTATAGAAGTAGCATGGTAATGTTCTTATTCATTTTCAGAAACTTTCTCAATAATACTAAGATTTTCTTAGTTTTTTCTATTTTTTTTTAGTTGTAGAAGCACCCTGGGTTGATATGTTTTGAGAGTTATTAAAACTAATTTCATAACCTTTTGCTACATGACAAATAATAGTTCCCTCATATATGTACATTAGCATTCTATATTATCATGATTTATTCTATGCACTTATCCACACTGGAGTTTGACATTTATTTCATTCCCTCCCTGAACTTTGCAAGATCACCATGAAGTTTTTAGCATTCAATTCAGCGTTTTACCTCCTGAAATTGCTTAGGAAGGATTAAAAAATAGGCAATTTTTTCCACTCATTTCAAATCATAGGAAATAATGAAAACTTAAGACTCATCCTGAAATAATATTTTAGGAGAATATTGGATAAAATGGAAAATGCTTACGATATATTACTAAGTGGTAAACTGAAATATGTATATAGTATATTCCGATTGTATGGGAAGTGTATATTTCTTTACACATATATATGCATAGGAAAAATATATTTACTGAACATAAAAATGCTAAACATGGTTTTCCCTGAACGTTAACATTAGAGCAGTATATTATACTTTGATATGCTTTATTTTCCACAGTTAAGATATATGTTTGATAATCACAAAAAAATCAATCTAGTCTAGATACATGTAGCTCAAGGATATCACTACCAACTTATACCTTTTATAACAGCTCCTCTATTTTCAATCTCTCAATTAGTAATTTCTTTATCATTATTTAGATTTGGGTTTTTTATTTGTCTGGTTGAAATTTCTGAAGGTGTGGAATCTTCTCAAAAGTTCTCGGGAAATCTAAAATTGTACTCACAAGTGGGGATGTTCCCCAAGAGTCAAGCCTGACTTCCAGTAGAAAGCATGCTGCTTCCCCACCTGGTTGTCTTTATTTTTGTGTTTCTGTGATTTTTATTTCACCAGTTTGTCTCATATGAAAGTGAACATTACCTGCTTAGACATTTTCATACCCACTGTGGCTATTATACTCTTTATACTGGTTTCTGTTGTTCCCCTCTAGTATTAATCTGTGGTTACAATTCCATTTTATAAATTGAGCAGCCAAAGAATAGATATATTTGAGTACTATCTGGTTAGATTGTCAGAGTTAATCATATTTTATCTCTTTTATAGAACACTTGCTCCCCTTAGACTTCTCATGACATAGTTCCTTTCAACAATACATTAGCAGGTTGGGTGTCTTTCCTTTTTAAAAATGGGTACATTTTTAAAAGCTATTTTGTTATAGGTAAAAGTCTTTTCTTTTTATCCCAAAATCTTATCTATGTATGCAGTCCCAGTATTCTGCCAATTTTTAATGTATAATTGAAGTTCCATATTAATTGCTTCTTTTTTTCCATTAAAACCGTTTGCACTTGAAGATGTCAATACGTACGGGATCTGAATGTATTAGAACTTGCAATTTCTGTAAGTGAAAATGTTTCCAACAAAGTAGTGATCTATCTCTGCAGCCCTTAATGGTCTAAATTAACAATATAATCATAAAAATTTATCAAGTCAAGCTTAATTTTAATTATTATATGTTTAATTTGTAGACTTGAATCATCTTATTTGCCTTCTATTAAAGAACCAGAAAGGAAAAGAAAAGAGCTGTTTTCAGTGATGCAGGATCAACCAAATCATGAAAAAGAATTGAACAAGGTATGGAAAATAATGAGCTCCATTCTTTCAGGTAGATGTGAACTCTATATACAAAGGGAGTAAAAAAAAAATCTTTGTTCTCACTCTCTTTGTTTTCCTTCTGTATTTTTTCATAAGGTGACAATCTACCAAGCTGATAATTCCAACATTTTTCTGTGTGAGACTACAAAAAACACAAACCTTAAGTTATTGCTTTGCTACCAGGACACTGCCCATGAAACGTGTAGGGTGGAGGGCCAGAGGATCCATGATAGGTGGCTTATTGCAAGAAAGTTGAGAGCACAGACTCTGTGCTCAACCATACACATAAGCTTGGAGAAGTTTCCTGTGCAAGTCACCCAAGCCGCATTTCTAAGATGGGGATAATTGGCACCTACAAGTTTATGATGAGGATTAAGTGAGTTAATAATAACTGTTATTTAAATAACAGTTACCATGTGCCAGGAAATGTGCACCCACATTTTTTCTTTGAGTACCTAACATGTACCAAGAACTCTGCTGGAGCTAGAAATACAAGGATGAGTAAGTTCTGGGCGCTATCCTCACTCTCCTACAAAGAGTATGATTCTCTCCTCCCTCTAATACATTCCAGTAATGGCCTTCTTTCTATGAATTTATCATAACTACTATCCACCTCTCTGGTCTTTAATTTTGAGGATCAGGCAGAATATTTAATGCTATAAAATCTAAACAATTGAAAGTTAAATAAACCTGGGTGTGACTTTGAATTATCAATGAGTTGCTTGACACACAGTAAATGAAAATAAATACTTAGAGAATGAGTTAGTTAATGTTAAGGCTAAACTTTCCCATAAATATACAGCATTGTAAATTCAGTTGTTGTTTGTACAGATTTAACAAACATTTATTGAGTATCTAGGAGAACTATAGCTATTCTGCCAATTTCTACAGGAAAGACAATCATATGAAAGACTGGTACTATCTGCCAGAGTTGACTGTCAGAGAACTAACAGAGGTTAAGCACAGAAAAGTTGTTACGAATGAATGATCATTTTTTTATATATTTTGAACTCTTTAATGCCATATAATCTCACAAAACTTATTTTACTGATCTAAAAATATAACTTTAAAAAACTCTTTTTTACTGGTGTCCATGGTGAATGATAAAAGATTAGTTAAAGCCACCTAAAGTATAGTTACATGATTCTTAACCTCACAGATTTAGATAAAGTAATAAAACTTTGAGTAATATAAATAATCTACTGATTTTGCACAGTTTTGACACAGTGGTACAGATATGAGGTACAGATTTCTTTATAGGCAAAAAACGGTAGCAAATGAATTTTATATAATTAGCTTCCAGGAATTGTTTCTGGAGAGCATTTTCATTCTCTTGTAATAAAACTAACAAGAGCTATGCATTATGAATCTTGCAAGTATATTATTTCTTTTCCTTTTTTCCAACATGAAACTGCTTTAATCATTTATTTTGTGATAAAATTCACATTTTCAATAAACCAAAAGTCATTTGGAGCTCAGGTAAATTAGTCTCTTCTTTCACTAAGAAAGAAGCTTTGCAGTATAGTATGTTGTGTTAATATCTAAACATTATGAAAATAATAAAAATAGTTTACTCCTTTTTCACAGCAGTATATTCATTTTTTTACATTTTAAAAGTTTCAGTTTAAGTGGAACATGTTAAACTATACCAGGGGAGTGCAATCAGCAAAATCCATACTGGGACAAACTGGGATATATGCACTGACCTTGTTATTTCATCAAATAAATTGGGAGGAAAAAACTTGGAGACAGAAGAGATTAACGGAGACTTGTAATATTGTCCTCCAGGTTAGGATACTTGTACTCATGTTTCTTAGTCTCCGCCTCATTCTCGTTCCTGTGAGGCTTTTTTTTTTCCATCTGTTAAATGATGAGGTTCAATCGTGTGATTTCTAAGGTCATATCCAACTCTGAAACTCTAAAAATGTTGCTAATATGAATAGGATCAGATGAAGGGTGTGGCATAAAGCCTGATGGTGGATCACATTTGCCTCTGGATGTGTACTTTCCCTGTTAGGTCACTGCATTCTAGCTACTATCGCGTACACAGCTTTTTCCAATCTCAGTCAAGGTGGCATCCGCTAAAACCCAGATTTTTCCAATCTCTCTGTAGGTATCAACCCCTAAAACCCTAGTTTTTCCAAATGTGAATTACCCTCCACACCTTTCGGGGCTCTTCCCAAAGAGGTTGCAGAGCACAATAGTTCAGAGGTCCTGGAATTAGACTGCCTTTCACAAGAAATGTTATGTGAAAAGTTATGCACCTTAATTTTCTAACCTGCTAAATAGAGTAATCTGCAAAAGAGAGAGACATTGTTGGGATTAAATGAGATGATGCATTTAAAGTACTTAGAACACACAAAAAGAGAGGTTTTAGAAAGATATATACGAACCAGTCCCAATGAATGGATCATATTTAGATCCTAATTCAATTAAACTTAACATTTATTATATTTTTGAGACAACTTTACATTTGAATACTGCCTAGATATTTGATGATGTTGAGGAATTGTTAACTTTTAAAGACATTGTAATATTCTGGCTATATTTAAAAAGAGAGAGCCCTTATTCTTTTAAAGATATATATAAAGGTGAAATGAAAAAAAATCAAATTTTAAAAAGTACCCTGGAAAAAATTCATGTTTCTTTTGTGGATAGCCTCTTCTTAACTCTCCAGCCTTATTTCTCAGAGCACACTAAGTCGTAGCCACCCCAAACCCCTTTTAGCTCACTGAGTGTGCCATTGCTCTGTGTCACTCCCATGCTTTCATTCACTGAGCTCTTTGCCTGGGAGCAGCTCCTCCCCCTCCCCCTCCCCTCCCTCTCTCCCTCCCCTCCCCTTCCCCTCTCCCTCCTCCCCCCTCCTCCCTCCCCCTCCTCCTCCTCCCTCCTTCTCCTTCTTTTTCTTCTTCAAGAAAGGATCCCACTGTGTCATTCAGGATGGAATACGGTGGTGCAATCAGGGTCCACTGCAACCTAGACCTCCTAGGCTCAAGGGATCCTCCTACCCCAATGCTCCTTCCACTTGAGTAACTGAGACTGCATGCACATGCCACCACACCCAGCTAATGTTTTTCCATTTTGTTTAGCATCTCTATATTCTATTTTGTATTATGCGCCCCCCTTTTTTTTGAGACAGGGTCTTGCTCTGTCACCCTGGCTGGAGTGCAGTGGCAGGATCTCAGCTCACTGCACTGCAACCTCCGCCTCCCAGGTTACAGCCATCCTTCCCACCTCAACTTCCAGCATAGCCACCATGCCCAGCTGGAGCATCTCTGTCTGGGCATGGTGATCCTTCCTCTGGGAATCCTATCCTGACATCCCTAGGCTGGGTTAAACACTTATACTGCCGACTATATACTGCTGACATTGATTGCTACACTGTGCTGTAATTGGCTATTTTTCTGTTTCCCCCAATGGACTATGACTTTTTTTTTTAGATAGATGATTATGTACTTTAAGTCTCAAGAATTAGAAAAAGTAAGTGGTTTTTAGAAATATGCTAAGAGGCTGGACCAAGAAAGCATTTTAAGGTTGGAGAGCAGAGGCAAGACTTAAAAGAGGTTGAAATACAATGTACAGAATTCATTGCCTGACCAGGTTTGGGAGGACAAGGGTGGAGAGGAATCAGAGACAATCCAGAGGTTTCTAACATGGAAGCTTAGCCAAGATTGAGAATATAGGAGGCTTTACACAGGGAAGTGAAGAGTTTTTATGAAGACATTGAAGTTTACTTGAATGTGATTCTGAAAAACAAAATGTTGTTACAAACAGTACAGCCTATTTTAGTATTTAATAAAGCACTGAATTTAAAACCAAGAGTCCTAAATTTCAGTCCCAGCTCTGCCAATTATTAGCTTTATGCAATAATAATTTGAGCAAGTCACTTAGTCATTTTAAGCCAATTTTTCTTCTCCTTGAAAATGCTTGGAAATACTTTCTTCACCTTCCCTTCAAAGTGGTTATCAAAGTAGTAACAGTTATAGGTGATGGTTTGCATACAACAGAAAACAGAAGTGAGAAATAAAGTGTTGGAATCGGAAGGAAAAAAGGTAATGAATCTTTATTATAAGTATTTGTTTTTAATTTAGCATTGATGAGAAAAGGCGGGTAAAGTAGGCCATGCCAAAGTTTCAGAATAGGAGGACTGAAAATATGGCCAGTAAAAGTTTTAAGCTATTCTATAAATAAAAGGATTCATTAGTATTTCCAGTCTCTATCTGCTGCAGGTAAGAAGCCAACTCCAACAGGAGGAAGAGTACCATAGCTCTGAGCAGGAAAGAATGAGGAATGAAATCTCTGACCTAACAGAAGAGCTTCATCAGAAGGAGATCACTATAGCAACTGTCATGAAGAAAGCGGCCCTTCTGGAAAAACAGTTAAAAATGGAATTAGAAATAAAAGAAAAAATGTTAGCAAAACAACAGGTATGCAAGCATGCAGAATAGCACCTGTCCAGGGCACACTCTTGCTCAGCGACAAGAGTAGCCTTCATTATCAACTAGTGAAAACATTGCATTTCTTGGTATTATTTCTGAGAGACTAGCTTTACAGAAATGCTTTGTGGTGTTATGTAAAACCTTTGAGATAACACAAAGGGTCACCAAAAAAAAAAAAAAAAAAAAAAAGGACTAGGGAAATGACAATGCTAGACAATTTCATTAAATCTCATCTTTCCATTTTCTTATAACATATATTCTGATCACTGCCCACAGTACATTCTAATCAAATATTTCTTTCTATTTTTTCTGTATTTCTCTTCCATTAACATTTTTATCTTTAAAAAAAAAAAGTCTCTATTCCTGCTCTTCTTCAACACTTCCCATCCCTCCCTCCATTTCATGTATTTCTTTCAGGGTTTTTACAAATGGATGTTGAAACATGTTCATATTTACTGAACATGCACTCAGTGCACAGCATGGTGCATGGGGGAAGATAATAGCAATTGTAACATTCTCCGGTTAAAATACTAAAGTAACTTCTACATCCTTCCTTTCCTTCCTGCCTGCCTACTTATTTTTTACATTCCCTCCATCCCTCACTCATGATCAAATTGATGGCCTACTATTGAGAGCACAAGGGTTTATCTGCCTTTTTACCCCAAATCTAAAGGTTTTGAGAGCATCATTTAATAATTTTCTAGGCATATGAGGGTCACTTCACAAATAGCATGACTACTTAAATCGTGTGAATTATGAAAACAGAAAAATTTAGCCTTTGCTAAATTTTAGCAAAGGCTAAATTTTTATAATCCTTAAACCATGATTATTTGGTGCAAAACAGAGGAAAACAGTACAGATGGCATCCTCACTTTGGTTGTACCTGTATAGGGAGGATATTTTACAGGTGTTAACAGTGATCTGGGTAGTTGGACTATGAATCATTTTTATTTTCACCTTTCTACTTTTGTACATTTTCTAGGTTTTGTCAATGAGCATATAATTAGTAATTTACAAAAGTAAATTTAAGACAGGTGTTTTATACAGAAATGTGTCCTAAATAAAAGGACAGATATGATATCCAAGTCCTGCCAAGTAGAATAAATCAGGGAAAGATAAAATAGACAAAATGAAGTAGTCACTAAAAAAGATGGAATTTTGGCAGAAATATCAGAAATAACAAAATTAAACATGAAAGTTATGTATTGCCTATTGTAAAAATCAGGTGTTGAATAAATTTAATGGACAGTTATTCAAATATTTTTTAACATTTGCTTTTTCTGGTGACAATTTGCCTACAATAGGAAATAGAAATGAGAAATAGAATTTTGGAATTGGAGGACAAAAGTAAATGAATCATTATTGAAAGTATGTGTTTTTAGTTTAGCATTGATCAGAAAAAGACATAAACTGGTACCTGCCAAAGATAAGAGAACTAAATAAGAATACCTGATTGTTGTTGATCATACCCAAGAAGTGTTTCCCTTCATTACACTTAGAAAATATTTGTATTCACAAAACAAAATTTTAATAGAATTATGAGTTTTTATTATGAATTTTACATTTGCCTTTTATCTGCTGATTTCAGGTCTCAGATATGAGATATAAAGCTGTCAGAACTGAAAACACACATCTAAAAGGAATGATGGGAGATTTAGACCCTGAACAATACATGGTAATATGCCAACATCATTCAATAAATTGAACAAAGAGATTACTTAATTGGTCATGATTAACCCAGACATCATTTATTGAGTACTTGCTGTGTGTTAGACATGAAGGAGTTGGGCAGTAAATTATCTTGCACTTCAGTTGAGATTACCTTTATCCTCAGGCTAGAACATTGGAATGCCTAGTTTTCTCCCTCGTTCTTTGGTTGGATTAGGCTCAATTCTGATCGTTTCCCTCAAATATGCCAAGCATGCTATTTCCTTGCTTTTGTTCTTGCTGTTGCCTTTGAAATTCTATATTCTACATGGCCTGATTCAACTGCCAATATTCCCCTCAACGAAGCCACCCCTGAAACCCCAGTCAGAATGAATGCCACATTTGGTTTGCATTTTTTCTGACTTGTTTTGTTACTTGTCACTTTCCCAGTGGATGACAAGCAGGGAACCATGTCTTATTGGTGTTTGTTTCACCAGTACCTCACATCTTCAGGCATAAAGAAAGTGTTCAATGAGCCTTGGTTGATTAAAAAGAGGGATAAATAAATTAATATTAACGATAAGGACTTCTGGTTTTAGCCAATGGCTCTATAGGTTTACACCAAGGAACTTAAACAGGCTCTGTGCATCTCATTTTAATTGTTTAATGTTAACAGTAGGAAGTTTATCTTTATATGAGAAGTTTTATTCATTGAATGACTTAAATAGCATTGTTACTTGTTTATCATTTATTGGCTCTGAGAAAATTCTAAAATAATTTTCTACCATATGAGGAATAGAAAGGATAAAAGAGGAATATGGTAATTACTTAATCAGGCCTGTTTCCTTAGCTATAAAATGAGGGAATTGAATTAGGCATTCTCCACTGGCCCTCCTTAAGCTAGGATACTATATTTCTGTGGTATTATGTACTTGTTCTCATAATGGTCCATATTATAGCATCAGAAGAGTACAAACATTCTGGAAGCATTCTGTCTTCTTCTTTGGGTGTGGTCAATGGATCCTGTGATTGGAGTACAGATGGATAAAAAGTAAGGCATATGTGATTTTCCCATTCGTTACATTAAAAAAAAAAACTGTGTGTCATCTATGATATTTTTATTTCTAAATGCTGAGCACACAATAAGTTAAATCAGATCCTGCCTCCATGAGTGCCTTTTTCACTCACAAAATGGTATTTGTATTTTTTTACATTTCAATCTGAATGTTTTTAAGGTGTATATTTGGGTCATCACAGCCCCCACTGAGCCTACTTCATCTGGCTCCTTAGGCCTTTGACTTTCTTTGTTCACTTTTTTTGGGTTTTTAAGAAATAGCAGACACAGAGATGTCTAAAGAAGCAGCTAATGATCCACAAGCTTATCCCAATCCCAGTTTGGACTCCGAAGATACCCAGTGCTAACAAATTAGTGTTTGTTGCGGCATTCTGTAACTTTTTCCTTGCATATGCACACAATAAGGAGGAGATGGGTTGAATATTCTTTTACAGAAATAAATGTATAATATATACGTTATTCCCAAACTGCCTTTTGACAGTCCATGGACATCTCTACAAGTCAGTAGATAAACATCCTTTTATTTTTCCTAATTTTTTAGAAAAAAAAGGAATGTTCATATAAGATGTAATTTTTTATAAATGTAATCATAACTGACATAGGCCAGTTTTAGTGCCATCATTTTGTTGTTGCTGCTTTTTCACCCCTCCCTCTTTTCTCCAATCATATACCCACATTATACTGTGCCTCCAGATGATACATGTTAACTACTTGGTATGTATTATTTTTTACTTTTTCATATATATACATATAGTCATATAGTACCTATTTGGTGATTTTATCATCTTTTTCAAGTTGAATCATAATATATACTTGTTTCGTTCACTCAACTGTGTCTTTTGAAATCTTTCCAAGTCAACTGATTTAAGTCTATTTTATTTTTATAATAGCTTGATAATAATCCATGCTGTGTATCAAAATGTATTAAACTATTTTTATAGTTATTTCAGACACAGTTTATTCAACGCTGTTTCCAGGTTTGTGTAGGCACACTGTATGATCACATGATGAAATCAGCTAACGTCGCCTTTGTCAAAATGCATCCTCATTATTAAATAACACATGACTGTATATTGATTATAATTTTCTAAGTAGCCATACATTATATTGATATTTTATGTTGATCATATTGTATTTTCTATTGGTAGAAAAAAGACTGGAAAGATATAAATGTTAACAACAGTTATCACTGAGTGTTGGTAACATGGAATATTTATTTTGTTCTGAATATCTATATTTTCCATAAGGACATATATATGATTTTATGTGCCCATTTGTTAATACACACCCATGTTTTATTTTTATCAGATGAAAAATTCTTCTAGAATTGAAATGCATGTCATTTCTAGTTTCATTATTAATCAACACTAGAAGGTACATCCTATGAACACAAAAACTTGTAGTCTAGCTAATTTGTTCTATTAGGTTGGCGCAAAAGTAATTGCAGTTTTGCCATTGAACGTAATGGCAAAACTGCAATTACTTTTGCGCCAACCTAAATAGATACAGTGAGCAATAATGCATAGAGTAAAGCTTTTCTGTTTTGGAGCATAGGCAGTATTGTATATATTGCAACATCCAACAGTGGGGATGATGCAATGCATACATCATTGCAATGTGTTCCACGGCAGCTATCCCTGGGTATCTGCTTGTTATGAGGAGGTAAAGGGGTGGAAAGGAGCATTTAGAAAGTGAGCAAGAGTAGAGCCACATCACTCAGCTCAAATGAAAGGGACTTTCCAGCACACGTCTCCAAACAGAAAATATGCATTGCTTATAAGGGATAGTTTATTCAATGATAGTTTATTTCATTCTCCAGAGTATGGACTTCAGTAACAGGGAACATTCAAGGCATACATCTATTAATAAACTGGAATATGAGAATGAAAGGCTCCGAAATGATCTTGCAAAACTTCATGTCAATGGAAAATCAACATGGACAAATCAAAACACCTCTGAAGAAACAGGAAGATATGCCTATCAAAGCCAAATAAAAGTGGAAAAAAATGAAGAGAGGTATGCTAGCTCTATTATATAATGGCGTAAGTTTAAAAACATGTAATTAAAATTTATTTTTAAAGAATTCAAATTATAACTTTTTATACTTTCTCTTCTGTGATTTAGAATTTATTTTATAATGATAATGCAGTAGTAGGCTAAATTGCTTTATAAGAAATTGTGTCAATAGCTTTCAAAATATACTAGTGAAATTGGTGGAGGGTTACAGTGGATTTTAGCTTGTTAGTCACTTCAGATCATTTTTGGAAGCTGAGGTGGTACAAAACATACAGATAAGTAATTTTACTTTTGATGTCATGGGAACAGAGAAAAGTAGATTTTAATATGTTAGGTATATTGTTCAAACAAAATAGAAAATACAGGAACATGTCACTTCTCACCTACCTTCAATAATAGATACACTTTCTTTTTTGTTTGTTTTTGTTTTTTGGGGTTTTTTTTCTTGTTTTTTTTTTTTGTTGTTGTTGTTGTTGAGACAGAGTCTTGCTCTGTTGCTCAGACTGGAGTGCAATGGCACGATCCTGGCTCACCCCAACTTCAACCTCCCAGGTTTGAGTGATTCTTATGCCTCAACCTCCAGAGTAGCTGGGACTACCCCACCCCGGTGCCCACCACCCCGGCTGGCTAATTTTTGTATTTTTAGTAGAGGCAAGGTTTCACTATGTTGGCCAGGCTGGTCTCGAACTCCTGATCTCAAGTGATCCACCTGCCTCGGCCTCCCAAAGTACTGAGATTACTGATGTGAACTATCGCACCTGGCCAATAGATAGGCTTTCTACTGACATTCTAGCAGTGGCAACAAATTATTGGTCATTTTATAAGGAAGGAATCTATGGATGTATAAGAGGTTTTCTCCAAATGAAGAGAAGAGTATGGAAAACAATATCTGCTGTCCACATTATTCCCATGCCCTTTAAAAGGTCTTATTCAGGCTGGGCACAGTGGCTCAAGCCTGTAATCCCAGCACTTTGGGAGGCCGAGGCGGGTGGATCACGAGGTCAAGAGATCGAGACCATCCTGGTCAACATGGTGAAACCCCGTCTCTACTACAAATACAAAAAAATTAGCTGGGCATGGTGGCACGCACCTGTAATCCCAGATATTCAGGAGGCTGAGGAAGGAGAATTACCTGAACCCAGGAGGTGGAGGTTGTGGTGAGCCGAGATCGCACCATTGCACTCCAGCCTGGGTAACAAGAGCAAAACTCTGTCTCAAAAAAAAAAAAAGGTCTTATTCAAATTAAAATATATCAACCATGAAAACAGGCTAATTTGTTCAACTTTAAAAAAATATTTATGGAGTCATAACTGTCTCTGAAGGCCTTTCACTATTTTCCCAAACTTGGAAAATACTGAACAAAATAAGCAACTTTCTTTTATACAGTATTTATCATAACCATTCATATGTAAACTTACATTGTGAGTGTCTAACTAGGGATATGCTATGTAGCACTCCCCAAACATATTTGATGTGAATTTTTTATTTCATAGTGCCAAGAAATGGTGGATTAGTAGATTCAGACCCAACTTCATTACAACATTTGCTCAGAAGCTCATACTTGGCATGAAAAATCATATATATTGTTTTCATAGAACAGAATTAATATTTACAGCCCCAGAAAATTTGCTTATCCTTTGTCACGCTTGATATTCTATCTGACAAACAAGGTTAATAATTGTAGGATTTTAGTGAGGATTATAGGAGAGAAAAACACATAAAACTTATAGTTCCATGAATGTTAGCCATTATTAAGAAAATTGTTAGTATTTGTAATAATATTAATATTTCTCCCACTACTTATGATACCTAAAAGTATATTTTGGCAAATAGACAAATGGCTGAATCTGACATAGCCTCAAAGATGTTTCTGTGAGGGAGAGGTGATGCCAGCCTCATCTTTTTAACTAAGCATACTCAGCTCTACAGTAATTTTTTAATATTAAAAAATATATGTTCAACATAAACCAGATGTTCATCATTCTCATGGGTATAGTACATCTCCCTCCTACTTTCAGCAGTTCATCCATGTATATATTAGAAAGATATATTGTAACGCCATGCAAGAAAGAGTAAAACCATTCAAAAATACCATATTAATAACCTCTTTTTAGGTAGTTAAAGAACCGAATGAAGGAGGACTGGCTGTCACCCCTAAAAAAGCATCACGGTGGGGTACTGTGGTGGGATGTTGGTAGTGGCAGCAGCAGCAGGATAAAAGCAGTATAGGAAGGATGAAAGAGTTCACTGGGCATGGCCATGGACCAGTTAAATGTGTCCCTGTGAAGATCTGTCCAAAGAAGTGTAATCTTGATTTTGATGTAAGAATATATGTTCTAATATGGAATAAATAAGCTATACAGAGTACTCCCCTACTATATGAATTCATTCTCCATAGGTCAAATTATGACTCCCATGTACTGTATATAGTTGCCTCATTGCAAGAGAAAAGCAAGCCCATGAAGACATTATAAAGGGTCATCTGCGTATGTTAGTCACTGATCTGTATTGAGCATCTATTGGGAACAGAACACTATTTCCTATTCGTGCTAGTTGGGAATAACTTTGAAAACTTTAGATGGAGGTAGCAAATGTTGTTATTTAAACAAAAAGACAGTTACTCTGCCTTTTATTATTTTTAGAAAGTATTTTTACTGTTTGGATTGCCCCCTTTTTTCTCTTTGTCAGACAGTACAGAATGTGTTAAAAGTATCTAACAAAAACAAGACAGTAGGGGACACCAAAAGCAACATAAGAGGTAAAATGCTCAGCAGGAGATTATCTTAATAAGCAGTTAAGGCTACTATTCCTGCTGCAAAGCCTTGTGTCCTGCCAGTTTCATTTGTTGAAAATGTCATTAAATTTGTTTTAATGCCTTGTCTGATTTCAGTGTTCTCCAGTGACCTGGTTTTTAAAAGAAACAGCATTTCAAATGTTCTGAATAAATTATTACCATGTAAAACCTACTATGGGGCAGATTTGTTGAGATGCAAGGACACTGTGAACACACTAGTGAAGAACTGCAAAGCAGATATCTCTCTGTTAATGTTAGCAAGTGAAAATGAAATCATCTTTCCTTCCCTCACAGCACAGCTCAGTGAAGTGAAATAGTAAAAAAAAAAAAAATTATATATATATATATAATTGTGTGTATGTATATATATATATATAAATGTATATATTTGTTAGGCAAAAGTTAATCAAAAAATACAAATTATCTTTACATATCAGTGGCTAATGCAGTAAGGTCTTATTAAAGTATTGGAGGAAGGAAAAAGCTTTTAGGTAAAAGTATATGAACCAAATGTTCCACAAAATTTGAAGATCCATAGTCTAATTTTAAGGCAATTCTTGCTTTTAACTAAGGAACATTTGTATAATACATTCTTAAAATAACCTTTTATTCACTGAAGTAACTCAGTTTTGTTGTTGTTTTTCACTCCTGTTCAAAGTGATACATTTTTAATGCTCACTCACTTAAAATGTGAAGCATTTTAGGATATTCCAAAGAATTTGCTTTCCAATAAGACAATTACTTAGCACTTTCTTAAAAAATATGAGTGAGAGTAACTGCTTGTTCATAAAGGATTGCTCAGAATTTCATCACCACTAGGCTTGCTTTGCAAGAGCTCCTGAAAGAAGCACTAAACATAGAAAGGAACAACCAGTACCAGCCACTCCAAAAACATACCAAATGGTAAAGAACATCGACACAATGAAGAAACTGCATCAACTAACAGGCAAAAACAACCAGCTAGCATCAAAATGGCAGGATCAAATTCACACATAACAATATTTACCTTAAATACAAATGGGCTAAATGCCTCAATCAAAAGACACAGGCTGGCAAATTGGACAAAAAGTCAAAACTCATCAGTGTGCTGTATCCAGGAAACCCATCTCACATGCAAGGATACACATAAGCTCGAAATAAAGGGATGGAGGAAGATTTACCAAGCAAATCAAGAATAAAAAAAAGCAGGAGTTGCACTCCTAGTCTCAGGTAAAATAGACTTTAAACCAACAAAGATCAAAAGAGACAAAGAAGGACATTACATAGTGGTAAAAGGATCAATGCAACTAGAAGAGGTGATGATCCTAAATATATATGCACCCAATACAGGAGCACCCAGATACATAAAGCAAGTTCTTAATGACTTACAAAGAGACTTAGACTCCCATACAATAATAGTGGGAGACTTTAACACTCCACTGTCAATGTTAGATCAACAAGACAGAAAATTAACAAGGCTATCCAGGACTTGAACTCAGATCTGGACCAAGTAAACCTAATAGACATCTACAGAACTCTCCACCCCAAATCCACAGAACATACATTCTTCTCAGTACCACATCACACCTACTCTAAAATTGACCACATAATTGGAAGTAAATCACTCCTCAGCAAATGCAAAACAATGGAAATCAGAGCAAACGGTCTCTCAGACCACAGTGCAATTAAGTTATATCAGAATTCAGAAATTAAATCAGAACTGCACAGCTTCATGGAAACTGAACAACTGGTTCTTGAATGTTGACTGGATAAACAACAAAATGAAGGCAGAAATAAGGATGTTCTTCAAAACCAACGAGAATGAAGACATAGCATACCAGAATCTCTGGGACACATTTAAAGCAGTGTCTAGAGGGAAACATATAGCAATAAATGCCCACATGAGAAGCAAGGAAATATCTAAAATAGACACCCTATTGTCAAAATTGAAAGAGCTAGGGGAGCGAGGTCAAAAAAACCTCAAAACCTAGCAGAAGACAAGAAATAACTAAGATCAGAGCAGAACAGAAGGAGATAGAGACACAAAAAGCCCTTTGAAAAATCAATAAATCCAGGAGCTGGTTTTTGGAAAAATATCAACAAAATAGACCACAAGCCAGATTAGTAAAAAAGAAAAGAGAGAATAATCAAATAGATGCAATAAAAAACTATAAAGGGGATATCACCACAGATTCCACAGAAATACAAACCACCATCAGAGATTACT